CCGTCATCCCATCTCACCTTTGCCCCAGCCCTGTAAACCAATATGGTTATCTTCAATTCACACACGTGGGAAACAGAGCTAAGGAGGGCAGCGGCACGGCACGAGGGAAGGCGGTAAGCCGCAGGGCTGAATCTCGACTCCAGGTCTGCCTGCGACTCTTCAATTTGTTCCATCACATGGGGGAGTGGGGGTATGCCTCCAGGGCCTCGCGGTAGAATGAAGTTACCGGAAACGTCCTGGAATTTGTCATTTTAACTTTTCATGTTATTGGTAATCTTATTAGTGAAAATCTTAAGTAAAGATTTTTCAGGGCAAGTGTTCTTGCATGTCAGTGTTACTAAGGGGAATGGAGGAAAGAGATGCAAACTAAGCAGGAGTTTCAACTTTGCCCTGATACCTGGGATCAAGGTAACTGTGCAGGAATGAGGTGGACAGACAGAAAGACAGACAGAGAGAGTCAGACTCCCAAGAGTATGAGAAGCCAGGCTGAAGGGGATCATCGAGGGTCACAGTCAGAGGTCGCTTAGGTGTCCCTCCCCACTCAGAAATGTATTCTGTGCTCCCCTTGCTCAAATCTTGGGAAAGACTGGGTTACTTTCCCAAGGGAGGCAGTTCCTTAGTGGGGCCAGCCATGGGGATGTAGGGCCAGGGTCTCCAGCATATGTGGCCCCCTGCACCTCTGGCCTTGGCTTCAGTGATTCCACCTGACATGCTGTGCCCGCTGCTGGCCCCACCACGGCCCAATTTTAGGGCCCCACCTCTTTTTGGCAAGGCTCTAGTCCTCACAGGGCAGTCTGTTCACCAGCCGGCACAGCCCCCTTCCTTGGCCTCGGTTGGGGGGTAGGGGTGGCGGTGGGGGTTGCACTGTGGCAGGAATTCCTCAGATAATCTCTGTTCCCAGCAGCTCCTCTGGTGCCCTGGGGCAGAGCAACACCCAAGGTCTTCCCCAGCTCTCTAGGAGGTCCCCAGATGCCTTGGGACTCTCCAGCTGGCTTCACCTCCTTTCTCAGGGATGCTCAGGGCCAAGTGTAAATAAAAACGATGACTCACCAACTGAATGTTTAGGCCTTTGAATACTTATTCCCTCCCCTCAAAGAGGGTTATGCAACTGGTGCCCAGAGCACCCCCCAGCTCCCGGGAGCAGATGGCCAAGGGGAGGCATGTATCCTGAGACTGTCAAAGAGCCAGTGTTTCAAAATGACTCCTCTTCCACCAGAGACAGAACCCTCGCTCAAGCTCGCTCTTTTGCCCAGTACCTCACCATGGTTTGTTGAGTCAGCATAAAGGGTGAGGGGGACATCTTTTATCTGTTTCTATACCAGGTTCCTCTACAGTCTTCTTGACTTTGCAGTAGTCGCTCTTCAATGACCTGTGCCACTAGAATGCAGTAGTACAGTTGACACAGGACCCCAACCATGGGTATTTGGCTTTGGAAGGAATTTCAGTCCTTAAATATGGATGTAGGGGTCTCTCTGTTGGAATGTGATCACTGGAGACGGAAGCACCCCTTGGGGGCTGGGAACATCCCTCTCTTATTCCCAGATGTGCTCTGGGAGCATTTCACTCCACACCATTTTATTCTGAACAACACTCCAGTGTAGACGGATGGTAAAAGGGACTCATTCTTCCCCTCCTTGCATCCATCCCTCTCCCTCTCTCACGCTGCTCCTCTTCCCACTAAGAGCTGGGGCTCTGTCTCCCCCAACTCCTGAACCTGAGCTGCCCCTGTGTCTTGCTCTGGCCAACAGAGTGTGGCAGAAGTCACAGCATACCAGTTCGAGAACTGGGATGCTTGCTCTCTCAGAAACCTGCCACCACCAGAGCGCAAGGCCAGACTAGCTCGCTGGGAGGCTGAGGGAGCACATGGGGAGAGCTCAGTCTGGCCCCTGCTAACCCCAGCCAGCCAGCCAGCCAGCCAGCCTGCACATGGGTAGCAAGCCTTACCAGGCTCATCCAGGCCTGAAGAACCACCCAAGTGGGACCAACCCAAAGAATAAATGGTGGTTGCTTTAAGCCACTATGTCTTGGGGTGCTTGGTACATAGCAGAAACCCCTTCCTCCTACCACAGGAAGGTTCCAGGACATCACATTCAAATTGTTCTTTGCACTTACAGGTAGAGAGAGAAATGCATTCTGCCTTCTTCAGGTAGTGGAGGTAAATGTGGGCGGGAGACCCTATACTCCACTTCCCTTTCCACTCTTTCACTGCACAGCCAACCTGTATTTTAAAGAATTTCTTAGGAGATCAACAGTCGATATATCATCAAAGCAAAGCCTTTTCTGTCCCAACTCTGTTGCTGAGGGTTCCGCCGAAAAGAAACAATATAACCAACATCTGACAACACAGCAGACCACAGAGAGCAGAAATAAGTCACGTCAATTATTTTGCAAAGAGCCCTGTTCAAGCAACCATGAAAAAAAATTTTTTATGGTGAACTCTGAGTTTAATAATCTCTTTATCACATTCCCCAAACAATTTTTCATTATTGTCTTCATTTTATTCTGTTTACATCTGTCATATACGTCTCTGTAATACATAGACACAGACTTCTATTTGCCATACATTTCTACCACTTAATTGTCTTTGGATCAATATCGACCATAGGGATCAGGGTGAGAAAGAATACTACCTTTTTCTGAAGGTAGATTCTTAATGTGTTTATTTAGCACCTTTTATTTAAGGAGCTCAAGATACTTAAACATTCACGGTAGCATCCTTTTGTTACCTCTGAGTAAGGAAAGTGTCAAAAACGATCACTAGTGCTTTTTTACAAAAAGAAATAGGAAAGTACAGAAAGGTGAAAATAGGATCCATGAGATGATGACAGTCACAGTAGAAACTCGGGTCTTTAGCTTAGCATTCTACTCTGCGAACCTTATTTTGTCTGTTAAACACACTCCATATCAAAATGTATAATAGTTTCTTCCATTTTTATGACATGTCTCTTCGGAAGGATGTTAACTAAATGGGCAGAACAAACAGTAGATTCCCACAAACTAATCATCCCGGCAATGCAGTTACTTCCTGCAGCTTTTTACGTAAGCTAAGGAGTCTCATAAATTAGAGAGCCACCCTTTGCTTCTCCACTAAAAATTATAATTGAGGGGCGCCTGGGCAGCTCAGTTGGTTAAGAATCTGACTCTTGATTTCAGCTCAGGTCATGATCTCAGGGTGGTGAGATTGAGCCCCACGTTGGGCTCTGCGGTGGGCATGGAGCCTGCTTGAGATTCTCTTTCCCTCTCCCTCTGCCCTGCCCCCCCAATCATTCTCACTTTCTCTCTCTCTCTCTCTCTCTCCTTCTCTCTCTCAAAAAAAAAAAAAAATCATAATCGCTATTATTCCAGCGTTTCCAAGAGATCTGCCACCAATAGGGAGAAATCAGTGACCAAAGGTCATTCCTTCAGCCGGGCACCTGTGGCCATTTAAGTCTGGACACTGACCACTATTAGCACTCTTAAAACCTATCAGAACCACAAAATTAATTTAATATGTTTAGGTATTTTAACTTTTCTTTGGTATATGAGAATACTCACTGACCACAACAGATGGAAGAAGTCAGGTGCTTCCTTTTAATCTGACTCACGCTGTGTGTTTCCTCACGAGAGAGCTGATCTTAGAGAAAAGTATCTCTGTGATAAGTTTTCTTAAATTCACAATATGAGGATTTGGTTTTTAAACAAGATGCTTTGGAAAATAGCAGAAATATTTTCCATTTCTACAAGACTAAATTACAGATGCACAATTATTTAGGAAGAAAATAGGGCCTATTGCCTAAACACACTTAACGTTGTTCTTACCTAGAAAAAGAAAATGCAAATTAACATTTTGGCTTTATCCCTCTTTCTTTTTTTTTTTTAATTTTATTTATTTATTTATTTATTTGAGAGGGAACGAGCAGGAGAGGGGCAGAGGGAGAGAGGAAATCTCAAGCAGAGTTGGAGACCCTGAGATCATGACCTGAGTGGGAACCAAGGGTGGGATGCTTAACTGACTGAGCCACCCAGGTGCTCCATCCCTTCTTTCCTGAACTTTCCTGGCAGCTGCTTGTCACCCTGTACTCAGGCGATCCCGTGTCCTATTCATTTCCCATGTATTTTTGAGAGAGACATCAAGAATAAGAATGCCAAGCTGCACCAACTTGGATTTTAGAAAGTTAGTTACCAAAGTACGTGATTGCTTCTGCTGGAAGGAGTAAATACATTCACCTCAGGGATGAGCCATTTGGGGGTGAGGGAAAGAAGGACACATTACAACTTAGTTCTGCCTGCAGATTGACCGAAACTTAGAAACATTCAGGGGAAAAGTAGGGTTTCCCTTTTTCCTTCCTCTAAAGAAAATGAGAACACAAAACAATTTTTCAAAAACGAAAAGCCCTTCGATTTGCTCCCTGAGCCTCCCTCTAGGCTTCACAGTCCTGGCCTTTTCACCAAAAGTGCTTAGTACAGACCTCCCTGCCCCCGCCGCAAAAACCCATCACCAAAATACGGGCAACCTTTCAAGAAGGGGTGCAAAAAATATGTAAAGAAGACCAGCACCCTTAGGAGAATTTTCAAGAAAACCCTTACATAGTAAAAACAAAAGGGGGAAGAGTATTAAGACAATGTTACGGAAATGAAATACAAATACAAGGGGGGGGGGAAGCAGACCCAAAGGGAACAATCATTAAAACATATGCCATAAAGAGACAAACTAATGATGAAATGATAATGGGGAATAGGATGGGACGGAGGAAAACCGAAAACCCTGAAAGGAGGTAAAAAGTGGAGCGACGTGTACCTGTGTCATCAGTTGATACGTGACTGTGGGTATCAGTAAATGCTCATAACAAATGCAGGTTTTTAAAAAGTGCCCGATTCTACAGAGTACGGCGGGCGCTGTCAGGTCATCCGACGCAGATGTACCGAGAGGGAGCGCCGTCGGGGAGCAGATCCGCGCCCCTGCCGCGCCCGACCCCGGCGCAGGTGCGCGCGGTCCCCAGGCCCCGCCCCGGCGCAGGTGCGAGGGCCCCGCCCCCACTCCCGGCCCGCCCCCGTCCGCGCGCAGGGGGCAGGCGCGCCTGGCTCCAGGACGCGGCCCCTGTGGTGCCCGCAGAGGACAGGTCCGAGGTCCGGAGGTCGGCGCCCACCCCCCGGGCAAGGCGGCTCTGAGGGGCGCCGAGAGCCGCTGCGGGTCCCCGGGTGCTCAGCGCCGCGCTCCTGCCGCGCCGGCCTCGGCCGCCCCCTGCTCCTGCACCGGCCGCGAGGCCTTGTCGGGCCCGGGGGCGCCGCGCTCCTGCAGCCCCCCGCTCGGGCGCGCGTCCAGGCCGGCACACGGGTCGGGAAAGCGCGGCCCGAGGCCGGCGAACGAGTCGCAGCGCGGCGAGCTCTCCTCCTGCACCGGGTGGCCCACCGGCTCCCCCGCGCCGCTGCCCGGCCCCGCCGGGCCCTCCTGGGAGTTCTGGCTGACGTAGACCACGATGATGTCGCCCTTGAAGTTCATCACCTGCCCGCTGGAAATAAACGTGGAGTTACTGTTTCCAGTCACATTTCCTGCAGGGGGAGAAGCAGAGAGAACACGCAGAAGGTGAGTCATGGGTTCTTGGTGAGAACCTGGTCTTGTGAGGGAAGTTTCCCAAGGAAACAGGCTGTTCCAGCAGCGGCCTCCCCTCGCCGACACCGTCTCAAAGCGCAGGGACACTCGCAGCGGTTCCTTCATGTGTCAGCTCACCAGGCCCACTGCGGCTGAGGAAGGGAGGTGGGGGGGGGGGGAGAAGGCGAAAGAGAAGCGAGACTACGCGCCATGCTCCAGTTTCGTCGTCTGCCACGCGGGACTCGTGACACCGGCAGGAGAGCACACCAGGTGTCAGACTGTAACAGGGGCGGCGGTTACCTGGGAAAAGGGGTGCGTGCGGAGATCCCCAGGCAGCAAACAGACAGTGGCCTGGCTGCGGTCAGATGCATCAGTGAGGAAACGCGCTGCTGGAGCGAAGGTTGTTGCTTGATAGGACTCTGGAGCCCAGGAACCCAGCCTCCCCTGTGACCAGACTGTCACACCTCTGAACCTTCCAAGGAGGTCCCTAACAGTTCAGCCCTGGAGGGCCATGGGTCCACCCAGGCTCAGTATTTAGCAGAGGTTAAATCAATTTCCTTAACACCTTTAACTCTTGGAACAAAAGAGATTCATAGGACTAAAATGGAAGAAAAGAAATCCTGTAAATCACTCTTTTCTTCTGAACCCTGAGGTGTGTTTTGTCCCTATGGGGTTCTACCATCACCTCTTTGTGGGTAACTAGATTTGATCAGTCTTTAATTGGTGAGCCTTTTGGGAAACAAATAGAAAGTTCAACAAGGGAAGTCGCTACTCTTATTCCTCTTCTATTTTAAAAACTGGTATCTAGAAACGTCCCAGGGGAAAATGAATGCTATAAACCAAGCAGATGCAGAAATGTCCCAACACTCAGTATCAGAAACAGAATCTTTCATTCTGAGGAGAAGAGGGAACATCAAAATGGCTCCTCACTGTTAACGTCCTCATCTTTTTTTCTCAATTACTGTGACCCAGCTTCATAATTATACAAATTAGCTTTCTAGCACTACTCCACACGAAGAGATTTCCCCCATATTTGGAAGGCAAGTTTTGGATAGTTTGACTAAAATAGCAACAGTCTACAGGAAAATCCCACTGGGGAGACTTCCTTCCACCCCCAACGTACCTTGAGAGGAGCTGAGATGAAGACCCAGTGACCCAGGGAACGACAAGGATTTTAAATGAAAACAGATTTCAAGTGCGAGCGACAAATCGGAAAGATTTATGACTCATGCTATTTCTGCCACAGGCCGTTGTATGGGGTATACTTCAAGATGGTGGTGGGGATTTATTTGCCTAATAAACCCCCCAGCAACATGGGGGAGGCCAGCTAGTGTTTCCATTCACCGGCTAGCTGGATCACTCCACGTCCTTTGGAATTTATCAACAAGTGCTCCTAACATATGATGTACTCTACACTAGGGGTCTACTTTCTAGTATGTCTATGCCTTTTTTCTCCCACCAGTTACCAAGGTAGTTCTCAGTTCTGTTTTCACTGGGTGAACTCATTAGGAAATCTAATTAACTATCTAGTTTCTAATGTGGTAAGATGTAGGTGTGATAAAGGAGGGGAAGTGTTTCTGTAAAAACTCAAGTGAGTGCAAGGACCCAAATAAAAGTGAGTCAGTCATTCAACGCAAAACAAAAGACAATATCCACAAATGGCTGAACTGCTACGGTGACACGGACAAGAGAACTGTAGAGAAAAAGAAAACACATGAAAACTGCAGAAGGGGGGCGCCTGGGTGGCTCGGTGGGTTAAAGCCTCTGCCTTCGGCTCAGGTCATGATCCCAGGATCCTGGGATCGAGCCCCGCATTGGGCTCTCTGCTCAGCAGGGAGCCTGCTTCCTCCTCTTTCTCTCTCTGCCTGCCTCTCAGCCTACTTGTGATCTCTGTCTGTCAAATAAATAAATAAAATCTTAAAAAAAAAAAAACTGCAGAAGGGTCTTGCACTCAAATTTGCTTTGCAAATTTCTACAATTTCTCATTCCACACTAAAGACAGAGAGAGTGGAAGTTAAGATCATGAGGTTAATGTAAAAAAAAAAAAAAAACAAAAAAAAAAACAACAAACTATCATCAGCCAACACATATGGCCCCTTACTAAAAATAATCCATGTGAATGTTAAGTTTTGCGTTTTAAGTTTAAAAAGATGCCCAAGACATGGGACTTGTAAATGACTTCTCCAAGTAACTCAGCAACTACTGACCCTGGGCTGATACCAGGGCCTCTCCTGTGGCGGCTGCGGGAGGAGAGAGCGCCATGACACTGAAGTCTTCCCAGTGGAGAGATCACTAGTTAGTAACAGACATCAAAGTGAGAAATTAACAACAGTATGAAGATACCATCAACATTCTATTCTAATTGAAACATACCATGTTTTTTTAAATAAAAGCAGCAATTTAAAAAGTTGTTTAAAGGTGTGATTTTCTGCATATAGTTCCTCTAGTCTGTTATTAGAACATCACTGGCTGCTGGTTCTGCTGGTCTCAGTAGAATGGAGAGCTACACAGAGGGCATCGCTAGCCACTATGTGATTGGCTTATGGCTTTGAATTTAATCTCCCATCTTCTTCATCCTCTTCATACGGAGATTTATCCACTTATGTCATGGTACATATGATTTCTCCCTCGTTTTAATTAAAATTTTTTTCCCCAACAAATCATCCTCATGAATCCACTGCTGCTGACCTTCTTCCTGGCCAGAATCTTCAGTTTGTCTGAGCTCAAGTCAAAGCCCATTTTTTCTTATCATCTTGCACATCAAGATCTTGTTTAATTATGCACATTAAGAATTTCATCCCATGCCAATTTGCCTCATGGCAAACAATATCTTTGATATATTCCATAGGATCTATGTTCTTTTTTTTTTTTTCATCTAAAATGGAACTCAAAACTTTTCACCTGAGATATATTTAAACATTTCAGAATCCTTTGACTCAGAGTGGATCAAGAATATTCTTTTGGGGCTAGGGTAGAGACAGACTGGCGGGGATGGACAAGAACAAGGCCTTTAAATTCCTGACAATTAGGATGTAAAGAAAAGGTATCTAGAAGGAGTGTAAGATTCTAAAGCAATTTTATTTTTTTGGGGGTGCCTGGGTGGCTCAGTGGGTTAAAGCCTCTGCCTTCAGCTCAGGTCATGATCCCAGGGTCCTGGGATCGAGTCCCACATCGGGCTCTCCGCTCAGTGGGGAGCCTGATTCCTCCTCTCTCTCCGCCTGCCTCTCTGCCTACTTGTGATCTCTCTCTGTGTCAAATAAATAAATAAAATATTTTTTTTTTAAAAAGCAATTTTCTTTTTCACATTTCTTTTTTTTTTTTTTAACTCAAGGTACAATTAATGACAAAGACGTCCTTCGATTAAGTCCGAGTGCATTCCGTCCATGCTTTTATGAGAGTAGTAAACTGACATAGCCTAGAGTTCCTTAAAAAGCTCTACTGATCTTCCAATGACAGTAAGGGGCAGCAGAACCGTCTTCAGGGGCACGTGACCTGTGTGGTTAATGGCGCCCTACCCTCAGAAGGCCATGCTTGATTTAATGCTCTGCTGTCATCTTGGACTGCACATGGACACCTCGTGTTCTCATGTCTCACTGGGCTCTGGAAGTAATGTAGCAGGACCGAGTGGCTGGCAGCTCTTAGGACTGCTGCTCTGGGGTCTTCCCCCACTTCGATGCTTTAATTTAGTGTGACTCATTTTGGAGGTAACCTCTTCTAAGTTGGAGATCTTTCAGTATTGCAGAAGTATTTGTGAATCTGACTTTCTGTACCGATACAGAACTCGAGGTTTGGGAAGACACCGAGTCACAGAGGCTATCTACCGGGGCCACTGAAACGTGGATCCTTTGATATAGTTCCCTGATGCTCAAGCCACTTGTTATTTGCTGTGGAAACATCTGACACCGACTTTCTGGTGTAGCACTGACGCTCGTCCCTTTGAGAAAAAGTCTAGGATGGTATCAGTGCTACCTCTGATGCTTTGCCTACAGCCTCGAGTTTTGGTTTCTTTAGAGTGCAATGAGAACCAAGCCACCTGCCAAGCAGTCTGAGTGCAGAATCCTTCTAGAGCTGTCTTCCCCCAACGTTCACAGTTGTCTCACCCACCTCACCTTCCACAGCAAACAGATTTTGGATTCACTCTTTGAATAGTCCAGAAGCACTGAACGGTTTTCACAGAAACGGTTCTCATGCTTTTCAAACTCCCTTGTTTTTACCAGCTCACCAGTTTCAATAGGATCAGCTCACAGACCCGGGGCAGGGAACACCCACGGATTTAGTAAGCACGGCCATTCGCCAAGTGGGAGCAGAAGGGCCTGGGTATTCATTAGGTGTGAGTGCTCCCAATCCAGAGTTTACTGAGCGCCCCCCCCACGCCGGGCTGGCTGCATTGCAAACACCAGCTCCCGGCTACTGGCATGGGGGCATTCCAGGCTGACTTCTCTCTTCCCCCTCCCCCTCCACCACTGCCTTAAGAAGGGAAACTGTCACAGAGCCTTCTTTTCTCATGGCTTGTCCTAATGCAGACTCACCCGCCAGTCATCTAATAATGTCAATGTCATCCTAGTGTTGTGGTCTCTGAAGAGCAGAAGGTGCTCAGTGCTGACTAAAGGGATGAGGTTTCAGCAGCTGTCCAAGTCCAGGAGGGTAAGTGAGGAGGGACAGAGGAGAGAGCAGGGGTCTGGAAGCTCTGGTCTGGTCCTGCTCGGCCCGCCCTAGCCGTGGGATTTGGGACAAGCCCTTCTAACAACCTCTCCAGATGTCAGCCTGATCGTTTGTGAAATGAGGATCAAGTTGCAAGCCCTCTTAGCCTGGCAGGTGCGGCCGCACAGAGCAGCACGTAACACTTGTTAAATGAAAGAATGAATGAACGAATGAATGAACGCCCGCAGGATGGTGTAGGGGTCAAATGAGGTGAGAGGTTTGAAAATGCTGGGGAACCACCGACAACGAGGCGCAGGCG